CTAAATACCTGTTTCATATTCTTTAGAAACATCTTCATCGTCGATAGTGTTACGCGCCTAAGTTGATGTCTGGTACCTGGCACTAGCCCCATCTAGTGTCGGGGAACATAGCGAGGAGAGCTTTCCAGAAAATGCCATGATTGAACTTTCAACCAACAGCGCCATCTAGTATCGAATAGAAGAACTAAGCTTTTTGGAAAGCTCCTCACTCGAACTTTCTGCACCTGGTCGATCGGGGGCCGGTATTTGCTGGAATATTCTGGATGTATGGGTGAAAAAGGCGTATATAAAGGCGTTGAAGCCTGCCACCGGTACACAGTATTGAATTGGCGATACGAGCGAAGCTTTCGGAGTGAAATAGAATGAACTAAAGTGTTAAGTGTGAATAATTATTAGTGTAATTTAAGTTTTAAATGGTGTTCAGTAGTTAAAGTGTCAATTTTGGTAATTCAATCGGCAGTTTTTATTGTCACGAACCTTAAGCTCGTAACAATAGGTATGAATCGGTGAAGATGTACTTGTAGCTTAAATGTAATTAAACAAGAGTAACCATCAAAAACAAAATATTAATAACAAACAAAAACAAGCTAAAAACAATACCTGTAAATATTAAATTAAAAAACTTTTAATAAAATAAATTATTCATATCGTAACTTTTATTAATGGTTAAAAGCTTATATAAATTTATATAGTTTGTCTACTTTTACTAATTTTCTTTTTATAACGTTAAAGTAGTAGTTTCCGCACAGTATAATAAGAGTTTTAATATTAATTTAAAAGAGAAACCTTTCTTCTGTTCTTTTAAGACAAAGTGCGGTAAGAAATTATATTCCTTTTAACAAAGGTTACGTTGAATATTCCACTATTCAATATTACGAGTAGGTATTTATGATTATGAACTTTATAAGCATCTTTCAATGCAATAAATTATATTTCATGGCTATAAAAATTTAATAAAGAGAGTTCTATAAAAACTTAAAAAAGATATATATCTTTATTCATAACTAAAAAACGATGTAGCTCAATCTGTTAAATTCGAACATAATATTCATGTCAAACACATATCTGCATACCTAATATCTTAGATAATTTGACACCAACCGTAAACTAATTTTAACACGAAAACTTATTTAGTAGTAAAGATATTATCAAAGTTGTTATTTTGAAAATATACAATGCTTTAATTTTTTTCGCTCTTTAAAAAAAAAGTGATCGTTAGCTCTTAATTAGATAGCATCTTTGACATATACCTTTTTAGACGTGGCAGTTCATACATACATACATAAACAGTCACGCCTGTCACCCAGAGGGGTAGGCAGAGACTACAGACTTCCATTTAGCACGATCCTGACATACCTTTCTCGCCTCTTCCACATCCATATACCTACGCATACATGCTCGTCGGTTAAGGGTACTCTTAATTTGGCCCATTTTTAGTATATCGCCAATTTGGTCGACAAACTTCCGCCTAGGACGTCCCTTTCCGACTCTTCCATTCACTTCTGCAACATATATTTGCTTTGTCAGTCTTTCCGCATTCATTCTTTCTACATGACCAAACCACCGAAGCATTCATAGAATCATTCAATTATGAAATCTATCATGCTTCTATCATCACCTCCTTCCCAAGTATACATGTCAATCTTCTTATGACGAAAGAAAGTGTTCGTCACAAAAAGATTCCTTTCCACACATACGGTGAGGAGACTTTCACCATTCCCATTAATACATTCATCACCAAACGTTCCCAGTATCCTTTCATAGCTAAACCTCCTCACCCCAATCCTTCCATTAAAATCTCCTAACATAACAATATTTTCATTTTCCTTACATTTCATTAACACCATCCTTACCATCTCCCAAAACTGCTCTCGGATCTCTAAGTGGGCTTAGACATGTCTGGGGCGTAGACCCCTAGAACAAACAACTTCTTTAGGTCCACTTTTATTCGTATCCATAGCAGTCTCGGGCTTACACATTCATACTCTTTCACACATTGACCCATTCTTTCTGAAAGGATGATACCGACTCCCTGGCATGCTCGCTCGGTCTCGTCTACACCGGACCAGTAAGCGGTATATATGCCATGTGTAGTGACATCCTTTCCCTTCCGCTTCGTCTCATTTACACATAACACATCTATTCCTCTATCATACATCATATCGCATACTTCATCCATCTTATCATTCATTGCTCCGTGGCAGTTCATTGAATTAAATATGATAATAAAATTTCTTTATTTAATGATTCCACTAAATTCACGTCCCGCAGAGTGTATTATATTATATTTCAACGAAACTTGAAATATATATTTGAGTAAAGTTTATAGTATATATGTTTTTAATATCAGATACAAAACCTCAAAACCGATGAAGTGACATAGCGCCAAAGCAGCGAGACATTTGGTATATTGCGACCGCCGCCGCCCTCCACCTTACTATGAGTGACAGCTAAATCAGGCGGTGAACTCTTTATGGGGTGAACTGAAGATAGGATCACAAATTAATTTATAAAATAAATACCATATGTTGTAAATTTATTTATTTATGATTAAACCTTTCACTTTGTTTTATTATTTTAGTTGCGTGAAATTACGTTTTAACCGACTGCACCAGAAGAAGGCTGATTTAATTAGATTTTTAGAAATACGCATTTAAAACGTTTTTGTAATAACGTCAGTCAATGCCGGTGGGTGTTTACATTCATATATAAAGACTTAGTAAAAATTTGATTATTTAAAATGCTTACTCAAATATATACATGACTGGCTTGCTAGGCAGACGTTGTTCTGCCCTTTTCGACGACCCTTTGTCATGTCCTATTAAAAATCCTTAAATTCGCAAAAAAAAATTAAGGGACACTCACGGGCAAAAAACTATCCTATCTCTCAAGTTGGGCCAAACTGCACACCGTCTGCAAATTTGATTAAAATCTGTTAAGTAGTTTAGGAGTCCATCGCGGACAAACAACGTGACACGTAATTTATATATATTAAGATTTAAATCAGGTACCTACACATTTTTTGATATATTGACAGTAGCATCACGTAAATGTTTTATAACTCACTAGCGACGCTCCCGGCTTTACTTGGATGACTTGTCGGATGGCAAGACTCATCCTTAAGCGTCTCGTGGTGCACGAGTCTTACAGCAGCTCTGACTTCAAAGTCGCGGACGCCGTCGATGAATGTCTGCACCAGGTTCCCTTCAATGAGCGCAGGTAAAGACTAGTATGCTTTTCGAACCAGCTTCTCCACCTCAAGGGCCCATTGTTGCAGGTTTTCGTTGCTGCGTTGCTCGCGATCTTTGAATTGAGCACGAAAGACGTGTTTCAGGTGAGCGTCACTGTATCCCCCTTCAATGCTTCACGTTGCTGCCTGTAAGTAATTTACTTACTGAGAGGTTCCAGAACAGTTGAGGCCTGGTCGTGTACGCCCAGGGTAGTAGCAGCCATGGCTTAACTTTTATCTATTCTTCGTCATGTTAGCCTCGAACTGGATTTTGTTGGCTGACCAGGAAGAAGTCCCGTCAAACGGCGACACTTTGACTCCACGTAGCGAAGGTGTTGTAACTACTACAGGAGCTGCAATTCCATCCCCAAGTTTGAGCTCGTCCAGCGAGCTTTTCTTCATGTCATCCATCACGTTGTCAACCCGATTGGGTACCTGGTGCTGCTGATGCAGGCATGACGGGATGGTCTCCATAGTCAGCAGCTGGCCCTCCGACGTCAGCGGCGTAGCATCACCAAATCGTCTCTGGTCCTTGGTAGACGGACCTTCTGCTAGCGTTGACTTCGGCGGTACTCCACGTGTCGTCCTTAGGTTAACTTGGCTTGATTTGACCCCACTTCTGACACCAATTCTTATGAGCTTGGGTTTCGAAACAGTTGAAAACTGCCGAGTGAATTACTAAAACTGACACTATTTACAAAACACTTATTACAACTTAAAACCACACTAATAACAAAACACAATTGTACTACTGATCACTTTAGTTTGCAGTTGTATCGGATTGAAGTATTCGCTTGAATTACTAAATACACTGAATATTCACTATTATTGTTATTTACACAACGAATAAACTAATTTCTAACACTTTGCACGTCGTAATTTGCATCAACACGCAAAGAAAAGGTAAGAAAAAAAATGGCGCCAAATTTATAAGTGCACAAACTACAATGATTAAAAACTGAAATTACAATGAGTAAACTGAGTCGACTGTCAAATACGCTAGAATTGCATCAACATTTCACGAAAATGTACGACTATCTCCGAAGTACTCCGAACGGCGCAGGCGGGGCGCGGGCGGACACGTTCCGATTTATTCTCGTTCCATATTAACATTAGCAGCATCGCGGTGACGGGAGTGAGACGAAGTAAATGTGACGGAAAGAAACAACGTTATTTTGGAACGACGTTAAGGTGAACGCACATATGTCAGCAACGTACGCGCCGCACGCACCTAACGCGCCGCATTTCCTGTTAGCCTCGCACATTCGCGCAGTACGCGTCGTACGCGCCGTACGTGCCGTAAGCAAATCTTTGGTATTGCAAACGATTTTTACTGTTTTTTACCTTTGGTGTGAAACGGTACAGTGAGTGGTATTGTGACATGGAGCTATGGAAAAAATTGTTGTAATAGCCTGCATATTGGCAGAGGAAGAAGAAAGTGAAATTCGACGAAATAGAAGATTCTGGATTCACAACATTAATTTTAAAAGGCACTTGCATGGAGAATATCATACGTTATTTCCAGACTTAGTAGATGATAATCAACGATTTTTCAGATATTTGCATTTGACATACAAGAAATTTCAAGAATTACTACATATTCTAAAACCACATCTTCCTATACAAAATTCAAGATTTAGAAGGGTTATCGGACCAGAGGAAAGACTTGTTGTATGTTTAAGGTATTATTTATTGATAAGTTTTATTGAGAAGTTAGTACTCAGGTATAATTTAGAAAATAACACGAATCAGCAAGTAGTAATTTTATAACTTATTTAAATACTACGTATTTCTTTAGTTCTTCATCCACCTCACAGCTATCATTATCATAGGATGCATTGAGAACCTGGTCGTTTAATATCGTTATCTGATGTGTAGGAAGTATTGGTCTCATTACTTGACGCGGAATCGTCAGAGAAATATTTGAATGCAGAATCTCTTCGTTCGTAATACGAGACTCTTCATTTGTTATAGTCGAAGTTGTCGGTGTAATACTTGAATGTACAGTCTCTGTATTTGTATGATGAGACACTCCAGATGTGACAGTCGATGTGGTCGGTGCAATACGTGGTCGTTCAGTTTTAGCATTTGTGAAATGAGACACTGCAGGTGTGATAGCTGAGGTGGTCGGTGAGATATATGAAGTTTGTTGTCGAGAGCGAATTTCTTTATTGGTGAAATGAGGCTGTCCAGATATGGTGGATTCAACGATTGTAGTATTTTGTACTGGATTTAGCGGCAAGGTAAAGAGGTCCATTACAGGGGAGTGAAACGTTTCAATAGGTACAGAAGTAGCATCCTTTTCATTTAGCGTTTCCAGTTCTGCATTATGCACTAATTGAAAGAGTTTACCTTTGATGTACAGTTGTTTCTTTTCATCAAGTCGTTGTACAGTTCTAGCCATACTCATAAAAAATCTATTAAAGGATCTTGGTTAACATTAATATTACTTTGCGCAGAAGTATGTGACTGGTGTTTTTGTTCGGCCAAATAGTCTTTTAGTACTGTTGCTACACTAGTGGTAGGATTGCCTGTGGATCTGTGCGATGACGTACGACTACTGGGGCCAATCGGAGTGTATCTCGGTAACGGAGATTCTGAATGTCGGGAATCATATCCAGATTCTGAATGTGGAGAAACAAATGAAGGGGGGCGTTTCTCGTGCTGGTACTGATATATTTGAAACTCTATGTTCTTCATCGTTTATATAGGGAAAGAGGAAGCTTAGCTCTTTGTTATATTTAGGTGGTTTTATTTTGTTAGCGGCTTGACCACTTTTGGTCTTTCTTAAACTCAATGCCTTTCTATAGTTTTCTCGTATTCTAGTCCATTTTTCTCTACATACTGACCCTGTGAACAAAATATTTTTTTTAATAAATCGAGTAAATTGAAAATAAAATATACCTACTATAAAATGTTTCTTTTCAGGTTTTTAGCAACCGGAAATTCTTTTACATCACTGTCGGATAATTTCCGTATGGGCGAGAGCACAATTCATGCAATAATTTATTCAACATGTAAAGTTATATATCAAACACTACAACCGATTGTAATGTCTACGCCAGATTATATAGAATAAAATAAAAAAAATAAAAAAATATATAGAATTTGTGGACGTCGTCAGAAATAAATTTCCGCAATAAGTGGAAATTTCCAAATGCTGTTGCAGCTCTTGACGGTAAACATATATTACTTCAAGCTCCGGCGCACAGTGGCTCTATGTATTATTGCTATAAAAAACACTTTAGTACAGTGTTACTGGCACTGATAGACGCAAATTACAAATTTATTGCCGTAGACGTTGGCGCTTGTGGTAAGAATTCAGATGCCAACATATTCAAAAATTCTAATTTGGGAAAGCGTCTAAGCGAGGAAAGTTTAAACATGCCTTCACCAAAAGCACTTCCAGGAGGAAACACAGTCCTGCCACATGTAATCATTGCAGACGAAGCATTTGGCTTAAGTACGTATTTAATGAGACCTTATTTACGTGACGACGCCAGAGGAGATGAAGGAAAAAAAATATTTAACTACCGCCTGAGCCAAGCACGAAATACAGTTGAAGATACATTTGGTATATTAGTGAAAAAAATCAGATTATTTGAACGGAGATTACTTATAAGTCACGATCATACTGTCACAGTTGTAACGGCAATATGTTGCCTACATAACTTTTTACGCGATGATACATGCTATTGGTCAGAAAGAGATCAAATGGTGACGTTGAGCGACATGAATGCCTTGGAAAATTTCAGAGGTATTGGAGGACATTCAACTTCTGACGCGTTGGCAGTAAGAAATGCCTTTAAAGAATATTTTTATTCCGAAAGCGGATCAGTTCCGTGGCAAAGAAGTAGAGTACGTGCTGGAAGACGGCAACAGTGATTTTATAAACAAAATAACTTGCCAAGTACGACTCGGATACGCTCATATAGGATTCCGTACTAAGTACCACGAGCCCGACACTTATACTTGGCCAATTTTTATTATTTTTTGCAATTCTAAACCAAAAATACCTTTACTACTTCCAGGGTTCCCTACGTAACTTCGGAAGTCATTTGATCTATTTTCATTTCACCGACCACCGCATTGATCGATTGCTCCATTGAACGATGCATTATTTCAACAAAGATTTAATTGCCCGATGTAACGATTCATCGAATAACCGATACCAGTCACTGGTATATCTGTTAACTAAATATTCGCTGAAATGTTACATCGACTAAATAATACGTCAGTCATATATACCGTCGCTAAAATAAACTTCGGTAACGGTAATAGGTTTTTCGATGAATCGTTACATGGGGCAATTAAAACTTCGTGGCAATTAAAACTTCGTTGAAATAATGCATCGTTCAAAGGAGCAATCGATCAATGGTGGTTGGTGAAATGAAAATCGATCAAATGACTTCCGAAGTTACGTAGGGAACCCCTACTTGCATAAGTACCTACCTACTACCAACCTACTTTACATACCGTTTACAGGTATATTACCTCTGGCTCTGAAGTTATAGTATGGATTTCAATGGCTATCCTAGCTTTAGATTCCCCACTAAGTACTAGTTTTACAATTTTTGGGGCTATTTTTAATAGAATGACATATTATTTCTGTACAGAAGCACAGAAAGCGTATTACAAACTCTTATTACCTGGCAGATTCCGGCCAGCCCAGCAACCCATCCCTTTTTTGCTTATATACTACCTAGAAAGAGATGGCTTGCTGGGCTGGCCGGAATCTGCCAGGTAATAAGAGTTTGTAATACGCTTTCTGTGCTTCTGTACAGAAATAATATGTCATTCTATTAAAAATAGCCCCAAAAATTGTAAAACTACCGATTGCACAAAAATAATTCTAAGCAAATTGTTAGAGGTAAAATTGCTGTGAACGGACTGAGTACAGATTTCGGCTCGTAAATTGATAAGTGACTGCAGAAAACAAAAATAAGGTATCGCGGGTAATCACGCAAGGAGCGGAGCACAACATGGTGCGCAGCTATAACGGTCACTTAACAACTTACGTGTTGCGACCTGTACGTAGGTCTTAAAATTGTTTTGAAATAAAAATGATTATTACTCACCAGTATCATTCATTTGTTCCCCAATTTCTTCCCATATGTTGTGCCGTCTTTGCTGGTTCATATAGTGGGGATGTCGCAAATTATGCAACTCCTCATATTGTTGTACAAACGATATTAAAGCCACTTCGTCCATTGGTTCGCTCGTGTACCGTTCAGCACGTGCAAGTCGCTCAGCTCTACGGGCCCGAATGGCAGGCATGCACAGTGTTGCCAGATCTTAAAATCAGTTTTCCGAAATTTTTATTGCCAAATTCCGTGTGAAATCCGTATAGGAAGTTTCTAATAAAATCCATATGAATTCCGTACAAAAAAATTAAAACTCGTCTTATATTTGATTGACATAATTTCGATTTAGAGCACTTTTATATGAACAATTTTATGAGAACATGTTACGGAAAAAAAATCTTGATAAAATATTTTTGTCTTGCTTGCACTAGTAGTAAATTTATATCACTATTAACTGTCTTTTCTCTCATTGTTACATCTAGCAACTGCTACATCTAGCAGCACGGAACCGCACTTTCCTCAGCTTCTCTATCCTTTTCTGTCATCCAGAATCGTCATTCACTCTAGCGAGAAACAGAACGAGAGTGCGACCGCACGTCGACGGAATTGACGGGGTGGTCACCTTCCCGCTACGTTTCTAGACGTAGCTCAACCCTTTAACGACCAACTAAAATATCTCAAGGGTATTTGAAAAAAATACAAATCGCTAATTTATGAAAGATCAAATAATCGTTTTATTTAAATTCATTTTCTAAGAATATTAAGAAACTACTATGCATTTGCCTGTTAATTCCGTATAAAAATGTGTGTATTGTCCGGTTTGAACATTAAAACTCCGTATAGATACGGACAAATCCGTATATATGGCAACACTGGGCACGCATGCGGCTACACCGAGTACCAGCACGCGCCGTACGCGCCGCATATATGACGTCATCAGAATGCTTTCTTCAAAATTCGTATGCCTACAGCATTTTACGAAACGCGGCGCGTACGGTGCGGGTCAATTGTGCGTGGTTTCTCATGATTGCATACAACGAATTCTAAAATGCGGCGCGTTCGGTGCGTGCGGCGCGTACGTTGCTGACATATTATGTGCGTTCACTTTTATCATACAAAAAGTCAGTGTGTTATTCTCTGGTGGCAGATCGCGATGATTTTTTCACTGTGACGTTATTTATCAGTTTATCACTCATGTCTATCGACCAGTCGTCCGCAGCGCGTTATAGAGAGCACCCGTGTACAACTTTACGCACGACCGCTGTCGTCGGATAAATGTAACAATATATTAAAAAATATTGATTACCATGCTATGCCATTCAGAGATAGTGAAAAATTAGGCATGCAAACCAGTTAGGATGCCTTTCTTAGTCCTAGTATCCATTCAAACAGTGAGCTAGTAGCAAGTAATAAACATGTAAATATAGGTACTAAGTTTGTTTATAATACAAACTGATAAGTAGAAATTTGTTATAGGTACGAGTAAAGTGACCATTTATTTTTTTCCTCGGAGCGGGACGACTTTAAAATTGAATAAAACTATTATTTACGGATTTTATCGCGTTTAATTACTTTAATTTATTTTGACCATGGGCGCTAGACCCGAAACGTCGGATAATAAAAAAAAAAAAACGGAACGTAAATAGTTTATTCAATTTAGTGTTCGCGTAAATTTAGAAATCATTATGTGGACTTTAATATTATTATAGTTTTAACACTTTTGACTACCTTCTTGGTCTAATGGTCGTAAACGCCACTGCTGATCATGTGGTCCCGGGTTCGAAACCCGAGTCTTGCCAAGAATCATTTGTTGGGGTTTTCTGTCACAAAATTGTCATTTCTCTCTTATTGTAGTTTTAAAAATAAAACAGATAGTTGTTTGAATATTTTAATGATCAAAAGTGAGAATGAGAACTTAGAATCATATAAAATCTGGCTGCTGGGTTTTTAATTTTTTCTGAACAACAAATAAATGCTAATTAGAAATAACTTATGTTATTTGATAATTTATTACAGATTAATTGAAAATTGTCATTTCGTAATTTCAAGTTCAAATATATTATTTTTCAGAATAATCACGTAACTAGTCAAGCCATGCCGGCAAACCTGGTACGAGCGGTGTCATAATCATGGCACGGTGACAGAGTTCGCATGATGCTACGCTTTTGTTTGTCAAAGCGAGACATTTTTACGTATTTTGGAGACAGCGGGACACAAACCCTTAAATTGGGACCGTCCCGCCTAAAGTGGGACGTATGGTCACGTTAGGTATGAGGTAACTCGTATGTAACAGATATACTTGACGAAGTGTCGGCTCCGT